AACGGCGTCAAGGAAGTACGAAAAAGGAAATGTTACTTTCGTCTCCGTCCATCGATCAGGGACGGGAGGGGAGCGCCTTTTTCATTTTTCCAGTCCGATCTCGAATATGCGCCGCTTTTTGCCGTTTGGATTTACTTTTATTCGCTCGGTTCTCTCCGAGGTGATTTGTTACTTTTCAATGTTTGCAGGAATTGCAATTACTCGGGGATCGAATAAGTGCCCGATGTAATTAGAATAATATCACAATCACGTGAAACATTTAAGGAAAATGGCTTCCGCGTGAAAGCGAGATTTAAATATTTTTATCTAAAAGAGATAAAAAAAAAAAGACCTCTCGTCGCAAACCGCGATATTTCCCGTTTTCAACTGTGAATTCACATTACACAGCCTTACGCGGATTTTCCAGAAGAACGGCTAACGCGGCATCGATTACGCGGGGATTTTCTGTAACGCCATTTCCGCGCATCCATCGATCGCGCCAAAGCGTTCGCCGTATAATGGTTTCATTTTCCATTTGTACCTCGCCTACTAACGTTCCAATATCTCTCGTCCCGCCGCGCTTTAATAATATTACGCATTGTTGCGAGCGCGGTATGCACGCTTGTAAATTCGCCACGGTTTTCCGCCAATTTCGCGGCTGCGAGCCAGACGCGCTTTTCCCCCTTCCTTGCCGCAGTTACGCCGCGAGATACTCCGCTGTTTCGATTATAGACATAAATTCCTCCTTTTTTTCCCCCTTTCCCCGGCCGACGTCGATTTGCACGCACGGCAGCGAAAGTCGCACGCGACGTTTTTCCAGCGAATTTGGACGATGCACGAAATGCCGGCTGATTCAATATCGAAAGCGCGGATCTCGACGAAGGGTTTTGCATCGCGGACGATAGAGCGAACTTTTTTCCTCAGACATTATTTCGGAACACTCGTTTCGACGGGACGGTCGACCGGCGGATTCGGTACAGCGTCGCTTTCGCACCTTGCTGATTTACGACACCGTGGCGCGAGGCCTCGGCGTTTCGCGTTTTAGAAGGATCTAAAAATTCAATTCCACACCGCGAATCGTCGCGTCCCGGACCGACGCAACTCGATCCCCGCGCGAATAGGAAATAGGAGGATCCCTTCACGCGCGTAGTAAATCTGCCGTTGGGCACCGGGAGCACCGGGCTGGCGTCGGAACGCGTTGGTGCACTCAGCGCGGCCGGGAGGCTGCGAGAGGGTGGTTGAAGCAGCCGGGGGGTGAGAGGAGGAAGAGAGAAAGGGAGCGAGAGTGAGCGAGGGAAAGAGAGGGAAAGAGGAACGGTTCCGAGCTCTCGAGTCATTTCTCCAAGCCAACACAGACCTCTCAACTCAACGCCACTCGTGGAAACGAAATCTGATACGAGAAAAGCTAAACTCCTTCAAATGCACAAGCCGTCCTCTGTTCGCCCCCTATCTACCACCCTCTTCCCGCCCACATCGGCTTCTCTCTCCTTTGCTTCCTTACTCCCACCCCCGGCACTCGGAGTTTGCAAACCTCCCGAGCAACCCACCTGGGTTCCTCCTCCGCTGCCTCTTTCTCTTCCTCCCTCTCTTTCGACTCTTGCTCCTTTCAGCTACCCACTTATACTCAGTCAACCCTTTTCATTGCGAAAACGTCGTTCTACAATTCACCCTTTCCCTCCCCCACCCGTACTTCCTATTCTCTCTCGCTCCCTCTCCCCATGCTTTCCTCCCTTTTTTATGCGCTGCTCGAGGACGCTCCAATTCCTTGTCAGCGCGTCCTCTTCTCTTCCTTTTTCCGCGTCAGAGAAGGAACTCTCCCACCCCCTCCCGCCGCTGCCAAGCTTCTTTCTTTTCTACTACTCCATCCCCTGATCGAGCATTGCCCGCTACGTTGCTCACCTCCTCCTCCTCCTTCTCGATGGAAGAGCAGCCGCTCGACTTCCGACTGTTTAACCCCCTTAATTAACAGCCGGCGTCGGAGATCTCGGGATTCGGCCTCTTCCGTGGCACGCGACCTTCTTTAAGAGCGGGCGAAGTCGAGTGGAGGCTCTCGTTTTCATGAGTTGACCGGCAAGGAGGGTCTTCCTCCTCTTCTCTCTCTCTCTCTCTTTCTTTCTTTCGATGTAACTGCGCTCTGTACGGCATCGGGTAAATTGAACAAGCGCGCGCGCATCGTCGGAACTACATTACGGAGAATAATTGTTTCCAGCGTAAATTTCATAGCCGTTCTCAGAGTGGGCGCGTTCAACGCGTTTCCTTCCCGTTCTCTTCTTATTTCGCTTTATCGTCCCGTGATCGGACGAAGCGTCCCGAATAATTGTTTCGCCGTAGTACATCGTGTTACACAACGGTGACTCGTGTTAGCGCCGAAGTCGGACCGTCGCCGCCGGTAGCGAAACCCTAATCGCGTGACGCGTCAAACTACTACGTACAATTCCAGCAAATCGCACACGCGGGAAAGCAACGAACTGAAACCACGTCGCGCGTCGTCTCCATTATGCGGTTCGTTCCGCGAGTTTCGTCGGCAGGGTCGCCGATTCGCGAGAAGTCAAAATAAAAATTCTCGATATCCGCGCAAATCCCCGCCGGTGTGCCGGTTCTCATTGTCGCGGAAAGAAGTGAGTGCGCGCGCGCGCGCGACATGACTCGGGAAGAGTCACGCGCGCGAAAATTGCACGCGAAGAAAAAAGGAAATATCTCAGGATGCTGCACGCCCGCTGGGAAACGATGTATCGCCCGAGTCATGGTGATTTGTATGTCATGGTAGTGCAGCCGTCGTATCGTGAGCGCGGCGCCGCGCGAGCCCGAGGAGATACCTGAAGCGACGCCAAGATGATGCTGCCGCCGCACGATGCGCAAGGAAAGCTCGTTGTTTCGCGCCGCTCAACGGATCAATGAAGCTTTCTTTCCCCGAACAAAGCACCTCGCAATACAACGCCGTCATATATACGGCGCAGCTTTAAACAATTCGCGAATTTAACGCGCCACCGCGCAGGAGAGTCACTTTAAGCGTGCGACTTGAAACTTCGAGTACGCGCCTACGGTTCCGTGAGTCTTAATCCTTTAAGTCGCGCGAAGCTTCGTTAGGCGTCTTCGTGGAAAAAAAGTTATATTCGTGTCCAGAGAGAGGGAGAGAGAGAGAGAGAGAGAGAGAAAGAGAGGATTGTAGAATTCATATAGGACACACGTATTTAAGGGGACAACTTTTCTATTATTGATTATTTTTTTTAATAAAAGGATACTTTTTGTAGATTTAACAGAATACTATATATAACGATTGAATAGAGAATAAAGATTCAATAAAAATTTAATAGGAAACAGCAGCGTTCACACACAGTAAAAAAATTTTGTGCAAATAACAGTCCACTAAAATGTTTGTATTCCTTTAACAAAGTGAGTTAATTTAACATATTTTTATATATTTTTTGACATATCCCCACGTTAAAGTAACACAAGAATTTGAATAAACCGTTGTTTATACAAAATTGTTTATTGTGTAATTGATGCGATTTATCACCGTACGTTTAAAATATCAAGTATTTTTGGCGATCGGAATGTGGCTTTGTCAGGATCGTCGCATGTTCAGCACGCCCTTTTTTGCTCTCGATCGATGATAATTATTCTCGTAAATTCAGACATAAGCGAGCGAGCGAGCGAGTGAGCAAACGCGCGCGTATGAAGGGTAGAAATCGAAGAGAGAAGAGAAGCGAAATCGCCGAGCCTGCTCGGTTAAATGCTCGTAATGACGTCTCATAATTACATCGAAAGTTTCCAGGGAAACTGTAATTATCGTGCGGGCTCACTTTCAACGATATCTTCGGTCCCCGGCCGCCTGTAATCGACGGGACGCCAAACCCGAAGAAAGGAAAGCCGCTTTTCCGACGGAATATTTTTCCAGGCGGGCGAGGATGGCGTTATCTCGAATCGAAAAGAGGATCGAGGGCTTCATAATGGAGTCCCGCTCTCGGATATTCGAGAAAGAGTAGAGAGAGAGAGAGAGAGAGAGAGAGGAAGAATGAAAGGAAGAGTGAGATAGAGATGGAAAATAAGAAGGAGAAAGAGTAAAATGCTTAAAAGTGCGTCATTTGAAATTTTCTCTAATCCTCGTTCCAATTAAATCAATTAGCGCGGACGAGAAGATTGTTTAATTCTCTTCATTCGTACACGGAACGATTCTCCCGCGTATACTTCCCTCCGTAATCGTCATTTTTAATCTCTCGATGCTTTGTTAAATTTCAGCATCCATCTTGCAAAGTCGCGGTAAACGCGCGCCTAGTTGGATCTTCGGATGCCCACGCGATTAAATGTCGAGTGTTCGAAGCATCAGTGTTTTTCTTTTTTCAGCTTTTTCGAATTTCTGTCACTGCGTGATTGCTCAAAAAATTGTAATATTTCCATCTGCGATGAAGAAAGAAATCAATCGTTCGGAATATACGATACAGCCTGTACACAGATCATCATTCGTGGCGAGGTATTCGCATGTATCGATGATTAGTCGAAGATTCATCGAGCCGCCGCGTTGATTTGAATAATTTATTCGACCGATCAACTGTATTAATATTCATTATTCTGTCAATCATCGGCACTCGGATAATTATCCGCGTAAACGTTCATTATTCGGCTAAACGGATGCGTCTGCCGATTGATTCAGTGCTCAGCGTACGCCGGGGCTATCCAAACATTTCTATCGGCAACAACGCCGATACATTCAGCAAGGGGCATGATTTGTGATCCGGAGATGACTAAACTTGCATTCCATTCGAAGATAATCACCCTGAAGCCGTCCCGCTATGTTAATGGCCGTACGATGTCGCGGTTGCACCTCACTGTAGACTGACATCTTAGCGCGATCACAATTACGTCTTCACGTAACTCCCGGCGAATTTTCACTCGTAACGTATTCATTGTCGTCGGTCCGATTGAATTAACCTAGTGGTATTGGTGATGCGCGCTTTCGCGCCGCGATTACGTAACGCGCCGGAATAAAATTCAGCGATCGATCGTGAAGAGTAGAGACTCACCCCGCTGAAGGTTTTGACGTTGTGAAGAGCGTTTTGCGCCGCCAACGCCGCTTTCCTGGTGTAAAAGGTCACGAAGCAACATCCTGCAACAGAAAATTAATCGTCACGGTTAATCGGACAGCGTCGATTAATCGTGCACGTCGATTCTCGCGATTCGCCACCGGAGAAATGAGGGGAACGAGGAAGGGTCGGTGGGTTATCGAAGCGCGCCGGCCACTTTCCGACAGTGAGCGAACGAAAAGTTCGGCTTCACCAGCCCGGGTCATCATACTCGGCACGGCGCCCGACAAGAAACTCTATGATAGACACGAACGGCCGCGGAGAGTTCGCGCCGCCGGTGACAGGTTCGATACGGCAGGGACGCGGGATCGGAGGGGAAAGAGTGGAGTCGACTCTCGGGGACCTCATCAAGAGTCTTCCGTGTATCCCCCCGTCCCCCCTGGTTGGCGAGGCTGGACGCCATCCAAGCTTCAGCCGGTCGATAGTTACGAATTGCCAAAAGTTCGATACGGCGTCCGCCCGACAGTGCTCGCTCTTTCCTCGACCAGCACAGTATACTTGACCCTTGTCCGTCTTTAGTATCTTTAACGTGCCGTTAGTTTATTCGTAGACCTGACAATTACGTGCTTCGCAATAAATCGCGGTCAGTATCGAGTGGAGACTGGAAGACGGAAAAGTACGGTATTACGGAAAAATTGAGATGTCAAAGATTTATGTGAGAGTAAAATCTAAAATCCATAGGTTTAACTAGTTTCGCTTCCACGAACTCGTTAAGATAAAAAGCTGCGAAATATATATCGCGTGCTTCCTCAACGATATCGGAGAAACATGGTAGCGATATGTCGACCTCGATGAGGGATTAGGACCGAAACTAAAAAAGAAATTGCAAAAAATTTAGAAATCCGAGAAATTTCTAACTGCGAAGTTTCCACAACTCAAGAATGCGTGAAATCATCCACGTCATTTCCGTTCGCAACGCTACGAGGGACTTTCCCAAATGCCCGGAAGCAAGACGTGCGCTAAGTATACAACGTAGATAATTAAGGTGTCGCGAGCGCGAAGTTAGAGGCATCGCCAGTAAATAACGGTCAGGTTCAATTAACAGGCTTCCTATTTACGGTGTACGCGAAATTATGATAAACCTGCAACGCAGCGCCCGAGCACAGAGAGTGTAATTATAATGCGATCGCGGTAATAGTTTCGGTAACAAGCCTTCCAATTACTCGAGGAAATCCCGATATTCCGCAATGTTTTGTTTGGTAACGCGATATTCAATATCGCATTGAATAACGCATGGTACCGCGATGAATGCATAATTGCGAATCGTGCAACCCGATACATGCGGCGAACGGCGGGTCCGGAATGTTAGAACCGTCGTATTAAGTTTGCCTAATCGAAAAAGGAGTTCGCTCCAGGCACGGTCGCGTATAAAATTTCATTTTGATCCCCTCCTCGCGTAATTCGAGATTACGGGCGGGAGAGAGCTCGGGCCGACAGAGGGAAATCATTGACAACGGAATAATTTTACAAAGAAATCACAAAAGACACAAATATACAGACGGATCAAATATATTACGCGAATAAATTCGCAAAAATTCAGAGAGCTCACGCTTCACGCGTTTGCGTCACCGGCTTTTGTTACAATCGCGTCACGAATTATTCGGAATCAATACAACCACCCACGTTACATTCCCGATTCGCGATATATAAAATTTCCCAATAAATAAAAATGCGATTTCTCGCTCTTGAAATAGAACGAATCGTCGAATTTTTCCCGAAGGTTCGGGCGAAATTAGCTTCCCGTGTTTAGTCGGATGATGTAAAAGAATCAACGTGAATTGATATTTAATTCGGCCGCCTGCAGATTTCCAAAATCGGGCCTGTCTCCGTTCTCCCCGCGGTCGTCTTATTTCCGCGGGTGAAGTTTCTCGCGTGCATGCCGCGGCGAAGGGGAACGACATTCTTAACATGTTACCAGCGAGTTTCCGTAAATTACGGCGCGAGGACGCACAGCCGGGGGCCGGGGAATTATGTTCCGGCGAGTAAGTAATCTTAAGGCATCATCGCTCGATAGACCTTTAAATCACCGCCTGCAAACTGCCCTCCTCCCTTCGCCGACCGGGCTGTTGTAATGCTCGTGTCTACAAATGACCTCATTCGTCGAGGTGCCAACGTCAACCTCCGCTCGCCCCCGCTACACCCGTGCGCCGAGTTATTCCCTTTTCTCAGCCGATTTTGGAGACATAAGGCGGCGGAGGAGGATACCTTTTCACCTCTTGAAATTATTGCCTCTCCTCGAGGAATGATGGCGTGCGTACGTTTCTCTGACTCATCCGGGTTCATTCCACGATTCTCCCCTTACTTCCGCATTATTTCGTGCAAGCGCGCGATCACACTGAATTATTTTACATATATTTAAGCGTACGTCGAAGTGGCTGCCAAACTCCAACGGGAGTGATAATAAAGTCATTAGCAACATTATGACGTTATCGATTATCGTTGGATATATGACATGTATGCTTGCGCACGAGGAAAGCGAAAACGATTCATATCCAACTTTATCCAACTAAGCTTTTTGCTGTTACGTTCGTGTAATCAATGCATTAGTGTGTGTGCATACATATTAATATAACGTCAAACAAAATGCAGCGGCGCCTTTGATGGTGGATCCCGAAATTATATGATGCTTCTTCCGAGCCTACTATACCGGCAATTTCGCACCTGATCTTCAGACACATTATATTTTTAAACTAGACTTCTGGAATTAATTTTAACATTTGAACAGTATTTTACAATGTAGTTTGTACCCCGTCCTGGTTTTCCTTTCTTCGCATAACCTGCGGAACTTTTGTACGGAGCAAATATTATCTTTGGTTGACAGCTCTAGACGACATATTGAAATAAAAACTAGCAAAAAGGAATACAGATTTTAAACTCTTTTTTTGTTTTCGGTATAACCAGTCGACCAGTACAGGCTATATTAATATATGTACCATCACCGTACAGAAGGATTTACAATTCTATGCAACCAGAAACGAGTACAGCGTGTTTGAAAAATTACGGTGAAACGAGCACTCCGGCATCCCCTTAATGACTTTTTTCCTTTCAAGTATCCCTTTCAGTATCTAGCAAATGCGAAGAGGGAAAAATTGCAAGGGAATAGTTTTGACAGTTCGCCTAATTAACGTGCGCGCGAGCCCGCGCGACACGCAGGGTAATTGTCGCGATTGCTCCGCACGCGAATTGAGATTAATAATTAATAAGTAAATTATTAAGCCGCGCGTGCGGCAATGCGACCGAGGTATTCCCAAGTGCACCTGTGCAACACAGACCGAATGGCGATAGTTTCCATGAGCGTGTCGAGTCGCGTACCGGTGTAATTTGCCGAACTAGTTTGGGCGGCGGCACGTTTTTGCCACGGTAACAGTCTCGTCGGTCATTTTACGCCGGCGGCGCTTCGCCAAAGAAGGTGACGTTGTTAGAGCGAGGTATTAATTCGATACTTTGCGAACAACACAGCCGGTAAAAGTAACAAGTGATTATCCGTGAGGCGAGACTTGGCTACCGCGATGAATATGCATAAATGAAGTCTTTATCAGTTTTTCCTCTGTTTATCGGTTAGAAATCAGCGCTGAAATATCGCCACACTTACCCGTGTATTCGCGGTATTTCGCGATAAAGACGAAATGAAGGGTGAAGAATTATAATTCTCAGACAAAGCGAACGCTGGGAAATGATTACCCGAATTACTGTTCATTTAATGTCGTTCACGTAATACACGCAATTTGGGGAGAATTATTCATCGCGCCGAACAAAACGATCATTGTTAGCAGGTTTAGCGCTAATGCCAACACGGTATAGATTGTAAACCAATGCACCGAATTATTAACCAATTTCTACATTAATCCTCTTGGCGCGAGGGATAAATCGGAATAGTTGCGTCCGGAGCGGGAAATTATTCCGTTTTACGGCGTTTTATGACGGCTCAGCGGCGAGAAATCATCGTTGCTCCCGCGGCTGTCGAAGGAAACGCCAAGAAGCGCGCACTGTGACGAAAAGAAAGGAACGGCAAAAAAGTCTTTCGGCGATTCTAAGCGAGCCGTTGCCATCATCCGTGCAAGCGGAGGAACGAATTTAATTTGCGCCTCGAATTACGCCGTTTGCAAAAATCACGATGAACCCGGACGAGCGAGCGAACGAACGAGCGAGCGAGTGAATGAACGAACGAACGAACTAACGGGGACGCTCGCCATTAGGAATTCCCAATTCACGTCGTAATTATCGCTAATTGGACTCCGGATTATGCTCGCGCGACCCTCAGCGCGTGAAACGCCCGTCGTTCGAGGTGCGAATTATGCATCGCGAGTTCCATACGTATTTCTGAAAGTTGCGAAGGGCGCCGCGATGCCGAGGGGCTGCGGGACATGAAGGGTCGCGAAGAGAGAAATCCGAACCACCCTCTGTGTCCGTTAATCGTTTGCGCGCTCGGAAGTTGAAGATAAAACGGCTTTGGCAAAGCGGACCTCGCGGCCGAAATTCTCCCGAATGAGGGAGGCACACGACGCAGGTATATTTCACGCGTGTACGAAAAAGAGGACCTACGTTTAAAAACTAACTGCCACGAGTGAAAATTGGTCGTCTACGTGATACAGCTGAAATTTCGTTAATTTTGTCAATTTTTTCCGCTCCCCTATCTAGTTTTTAACTCCCACAGCTTTCCCATTTGGTGACACAAGTCGACACAAGCATCACTTTGCCTTTGTTTCATATTCAACAGCAAAAGTAGGACGATGCTTACGTCGACTTGTGACGTTAAATGGAAAATATCCTAGGTCTGATAACTACGTTTCATTTGTGGTATATGGACAGTTGATTTCTTTTTTCCGCGTAGATGTGTTTCATAAATATATATATATATATTTTTTTTTTGTTTTCAAATTTCTCCAATGAGGAGAACGTGCAAAGCGGAGCTGCGCATCGCGTCGCAAAGACCGACGACCGATCCCGGCCGGGTCGTTACCGACCCCGTGAGTTCGCGGCTAATACCGATGGCGACGCGTGATTAGTGTCCGCGGGGAAATCT